CCCCCGACCCTGGTGGCCGTCCTCTATCCCCCCACCCCACACTGACAGCCTTTTCATTACCCACCCCCAATCCTGACAGCTCTCCCCCCCTGCCCCCCGACGGCCTTTTCCTCACCCTCCTGCACTGCCAGCCTTCTCCTCACTCCCCCCACCCTGACAGCTCTCCCCCCTTAATCAGGTCAAACTGCCTCTCTCTGCTCCCCACAAACCCCTGGCATGACCAGTGTTACTCATCTCCTGTTTTACCTCAAAGTGATACGCCTGTTATGGAATCATGACCCAGGTGTGAGACACAGATATCAGTTCTACATGCGCGAGCCACATGGCAAGGGGGGGGGGGTATTACAATGGGGCACAATAACCCTACAAGGGTAAAGCACCAGCACAGGATATGAATAAAATCACACCAAGACTTATTCCTGCATGAAAGGGAGAAGGACTTTTAATCAGAACCCCCCCCCCCGATATGAGCGGCCCTGCAGCATCACAGGGCGGCCCCCTCCTCATGGAGCTGGAAAAGCTGATTCAGCCACTGTCATTCTGAGCTACACCAAACGCCACGGGCGACGGAATGAGATTCTCAATAGAACTTTCCAGAAATAGCAGAATGGGACAGAAACCTGCTTCAGGGCGCTGCTTTCTGTCCGTCACTGCCCAGCTTTCGGCCCAAGACACAAAGAGCACCTTCTGGATGTTTCCCCTCAGACACCCACAGCACGTCTCCTTGTCGTGGTGGCTCATGTCAGCAAAACCACAACTGCATCAAGTGCAGAGAGGAGGGGAGACACCATGCCCACTGACGCCTAGGATCTGACTGAAACCCCCGTCGATGTTTTATCCACAGCTTTCTTCTGCCTGCTGCAGTTTCTGTCCACTTCCTCCGCCTACGTGGTTAAACATTTCATCAGCCTTGATGCCTATGGTAATAATCTCTCTGATCATTACTCTCACATCACTCTGGTCGTCCCACTAATGGCAGCCTGGAGACGTCTGTGGCAGGTGGCTTGTGTTGATAGTTTTCAGCTCAGTGCCCCCTCCCTCGATGAGACTGCAGCTGCCACGGAAGTGGACCGGACCGTTATACCTGATGGTCAGGACACACGCCTGCTTCTGCGTCTCTGGCTGCCTGCTCGCACCAGACACACTGGGTAGGAATTTTAAAAGCTTCCAATTGCATTACCACCATGGCCCTGTGCTATTGTGACACGGTATTTTTCACTATGTTACATTATTATAATTGCATTAAAATTATCTCCCTCATTGTCTGCAGTTTCATGGCACTCAGATCTGTAGAAGTGTGCATGCCAGTTCTGAACCGTCTGGAAAATAATTGTGCTTCTCAGTAGTTAAAGCCAAATAGTTCTCAGTATGAAATAAAATTCACGGTGATAGTAAATATGGTTTGAGAAATTGCTGTTTGTATGGCACTAAAACTTCTGGGACGTCCTATTGAAGGAGTGTGATGCATGTTCATCAAATCTCTGTTTTTCTATACAAACCTCCAAGGCTTCTCATCTGAAGTGGAGATATAACAACACAGGTGATTTATAATTATCCATACCAGTGGTGCAACATTTATTAAGACGTTTTTTCCAAGTGCATCAGTGCAAGAAGACAATTATTAAAGTTATTAACTGAAACATGGAGGAATAATCAGCAAGTCGATGGTATCCATGACACAACTAATCAAATCAAAACCAACTCTACATATACACAAGACAAACGTCCTCGTCAATCGATCTGATTGACTTTTGTCTTACCTGGTCCGACAGAGCAGGTTAAAGGGTTGATTTATCAATTTATTTCTAAGGAAAAAAACCTACAACTGACCACTGTTTTAGTCATGGGTTACGATTTTACTGGTTCTTGCGTATTTTTTTAGAACAAAAAGGGAGGAGGTTTAGTTTTTTAAGACTTTTCCGTATAATGATGTAGAAGACAACACGTTTATCAGATAGGAGACACACCCGACATGATAGACAGCCTTATGTCAAATCCGGCACCGGAACAACTTCGCCAGTTTGCATTTCATCCAGTGCACCAAACATAATTACCGTTTGTCAACATTTTGTATCTGGATTCGCCGCAAAGCTAAAACGCCTTAGGAGCCCAAAACGCATCAGTAGCCCACAAACCATGCCTTGGGTCATTAAAAACATACATTTTAGATGCTTACCAGTATTTGCAATACCTGACCAACATAGTAGTTATACAAGCCATGTATGAGTTGCTCTAAGATAAAATCACTCCCCTCCCATCTAAGTACATTGACTTTTGCAGCATTTGTGTGGTTTACTCGCTCCCCGAATTTCCTCACCGATTTTACTATGCGATGCACGTTTAATCTTGTGCTTCACCTATTGTTATAACACCTAAAAGGCGCGTCAGTCCTAAGCTAAACAAAGAAGCGAAGACTGCGACTCGCCGCCCCGTGAAATGCCGTATCATCTAATTCGCCGACCGCTAGTATTCCCTCTAAACCACATAAAGCCGCATCCTTCGGATTTCATCTCACACCAGCTACGGCCACCGCAGGGCATGTTCACGGTACCTGCACACTGTGATCAGGTTCTTCCTTTCGACGAGACCAGCCCTGGCAGCCCCTTTTTTTCGGGATAAATTCGGCCCCAGGCTGAGAGATGCCATCCCTGCGCAGACCTGCTCGTTTTCAGCTGATCAGGATCCCGTGGCCGTGCTGCTGTCTTAACATCTACCTGACCGACTGTGGTGTAAACACACGGCCGGCAGGACCCAGTCATGGGATCCCAGCGAAAGCAAAAAAAAAAGGGCAGGGACGACTTCCTGACGGACGCAGTCTCCAGCCTGCGATGTTGTCGAGATGTTCTCCTAGGAGGCTCGCAGCTCCCAGGCGCTGTGCCTTCATTCCATATTTCAGTATTTTCTATAAAGCGTCCGACAAGGATCCTTTAAGTGTGGCCGAAATACCCCGAATTATACATATAAATAAATATAGACTTTTAAAACTACACTTAATCTTCTAGCAATAAAGCGATTTCTTTGTCTACGGTGTGTTAAATACATAGACAGCGCGTTTGCACTCATTTGAGAACCTGAGAAATGTTAGAAAGAAAAGCAGAGTAATAAAGGCAGACAGAAGAGCAGACTGTAAGGTAACCTTTGCCAGGTACACTCCATCCATCAGTCTGTTCATGTTATAGGGACGTAAGATTTAATTGGCACCCAACCATCAATAGCCGCTGTCCTGAATTCCAGTGGGCTTTCGGTGCGTTTTATTATATATGATATTATAACTTTGTATATTTGCTGTATATTTTGGTTCCCTCTAGACACTAATAATTCCCAATACACTTGAGAGAGGTTTATAAATATGAGCATAACCAAATGTTATTATGATTATTTACCATTTATTTATTTAGAATGACCTAGGCCTACCGCAAAAGTACGAAAGGCCAGCACTATATCCATCCTGCCTTCTTTGAACCGCTTATCCACAGCACAGACTGTCCGAGGGGCAGGTGCTCGAACTGGGGGGCGTGGCGTGGCTTAGGGTACATTTGGCCGACCGAGGGTGGGGGGAGTCGCCGAGAGTAAATTTTGCACGATCTTCGAATATCGAAAAGGGGCGCTTAGAACCTCAAAAGGGGGACACTTTCTAACATTAGGGCTAGCGGCACCTTTTGCCCCCACCCCGTCTCTTCCTCGCACGTGCCTTCTGTTCAGGATTATGGGCCAGCAATTAATGAAAACACAAGCTCATGGTAGGAAGCACTGCAGCCTCGTGCCTCCAGGGGTAGCGGTTCAAATCCTGCCCTTTCTCTTTCATTTGGCGTATGCATGTTCTCTCTGTGTCGCGTGGATGTATTTAAGTAAACTGATGTCTTTAAGGTGGATTGCAATCCTGTCTATGCTGCTCCCATGTGCAACCTGTAACTGTACGGGACAAGCAGTCGGAAGATGGATGGATGTTCCTCGACGTTCCAAGCCAACCAATGAACCTCCCGTCTGGAGTAACGTGATGTCAATGGCAGTGTCCTTGTTTTGACAAGTATTATGAGAGTGACATCTACTGGCAGTTAGGCGCAAGGCAAGGGCGCCGGTAATGTGCTTCGAATATGTTTACAAAATGAACAATAATAAGCGGTTGGGTGATGGACGGATAAATGAAAAGTTAATAGCACGTTGAATTCATAATTTTTTCCCTGTCATATAATACATGCTTTTATCCAGACAAAGAGTACAGCTCTCTGTTTATACACTTAGGCAAAAAATGGCACAACACAAATCTGCCCCTAAAATTTGGACCCATATTAGGAACACCATACTAATGCGGTGTTTGACCCCCTTTCACCTTCAGAACTGCCTTAATTCTACGTGGCATTGATTCAACAAGGTGCTGAAAGCATTCTTTAGAAATGTTGGCCCATATTGATAGGATAGCA